TACAAAAGTGAGAAAATTTTGCAAAATTCTTTTCAAAGGGATGATGAGGCCAATCAATCTAATGCTGAGCAATTTGTTCGAAAATTCAGACAGCGATTAGAGCAGGAAAATATTAGTAAAGATAACATTTATATTATGATCAAAGCAGACTTCATATGGAGTACTTTTGTTGAGACCTTGATAGCACACGCAGCCGCAGACAAAATCCCAGTGCAACAAATTGACGATTTGAAAAAGAGGATTTTAACTTTTATATTTTGCACAAATATGACTAATAGTAACAAACTAGTTCCTATTCTGTCTGACGAAGTTGAAATTAATGAATATGAGAGTCAAAGTGTATCAGATTATTACGAGAACAGATTGCTCGTCGCTCATAAACTACAAGAAAATGTCTCAGCAGAAAATCTGGAGAAAAAATCGAAGAGTTTCGCATTTTGTTGGGATAATATATGGTACGATAATATATTTAAGCCAAATGTGACGATACATAAGAAGGAGAAGAATATAGCTGGCAAAGTGCTTTTACTAGTTGACGATAGCACACGACGCATATTTTCGAAAAAAATTACGCATGATGATTGTTTCGAAATAGTATTCTTTCCGATAAACTTGTTTTATGAACAATTCTGCTCAGATATTATGAAGAAAATGGACCAAATATGTCATGAATGCTTATTGGAAGATGTACAGAAGAAAAATTCTGTTTCTAAAATTAATTTTAATACAGAAAATTATGTAAATTGGTGTATTAATATACTCTGTGAAACATGGATAAACGTCGCGCCGGGTGAAATAGAAGAATTGTGGAGACGATTTTTAAGACAAGATTGCTAAACACAAGAAGGTATTTCAACATTAACTTCTGTCACTTCACAAAAGTTAATTAAGTCTGCAGGAAAAGTCATCGTTTCTGACGAAAGATCGATTACTTATTCCTTGCGCAGAAGGCGATAGAGGAGAATATCACCAACAAGAAGAAACTATTGAAGACACTAAAAACAAATAAAAACAGAAAAGGAAGACACTCAGAAATATCTCTTGGCAATTTAGAATAGATAGTTAATAATAGCTGAAGAAGTTTTTGACTATAGATGACTTCAAATGAAATATTAAACAAAATACTTAGTTCTGATAGAGAAAATTGTAGAAGAGGAACTTTAAGTATTGCAGAAATCTTGTATTTTTGTATGTAAAATTTGCATTATTAGTATTATTATTACGATGTTCACTTATCAAGACGTGCATACAATTTTATGTAGCTAAGGAAATAAGTTACATTTCTCATAATTTATATATTCGTTGACAAACTTTTCGGTAAGGAATGTTTAAAACCAAAATAGTTTCTCAAATCATTTAAATTATTTTCTCGGCTCTGTAATTACTCAGAACAGCGATTGTGTGAATTGATAATTATGTTTTTTATTATAATTATACGTATTGAGGAATGCAGTACCTAGAAGTTTCAAAATTTATGGAATGCTTAAAAATTATATTTGAAAAAATTTAAATTCTATGCTCGAAGATTCAATTGGTGAAATCAAACATCAGAGGATGGCGTGCAAAAAAATTCGAGGTGCTTATTTTTTTTTTCTTAGATATATGTTCTTTGTGGGATATCATTGTGTGTATATGTTTAAAGTGAGTATTTGTTACTATTATTTTTTTATTATGTGTATTTGTATGTGTACATGTATATATTTGTGCATATAAATATATCAGTTGAATTGTATTTGTTTTTAAATTGTCAGTAGATCTAAATGGTTGCTGATTAATTTAAGTATACTAATTGCGTTTGACGTTGTTTTACTTTTTTATTCTATGATTGAATTTGACAGTTTTTTAAATGTTGAAGTAAAAGTAAAAATGTATATAATTACTTTATAAACAATACATAACTTTTGATTTAGAATTAAAATACATAACGAGTAATGTATTTATTGTTATTAAAATATATTTGAGCTATGTATAAAAAATTCTAGCTGATTTTCTTAGAAAAGTATAATAATAAGTAAATATATTTATTATATAATTATGTTCTATTAGTTTTCTTAATATTGATCATGAAACATAGCAAACTAAAGAATTCAAACTTTAGATTCTTTATTAGTATCTGTATCTGTTTCTTCATCCTCTTTCTAATCATCTCTTATATTGATGAAGTATATTAGCAACCGGTTAAAGGTTTCCCAAAAAAGCTATTATGATACTTTAATATTATTTAACAAGGCCGTTTATGTGCCCGTGAAATATTGAAAAAGACAACATATATCAATGTTGTTATCTTTATTTTTGCGGCTTGACATCTAAGGCAATATCGATCGATATTATCTCGCTATGTATATCTTCTCTTTTAACTTGTCTGGTTAATCGACTGTTTCACTCGTTTTTGCGGTTGTTTTGTTTGTTATCCTCCTGAAGGAAATATTTTCTCAAATTTTTTAAAGAGCTAGCCATTTGAAGAAAGGGGTTTATGTTCATTTATTCTCTTGTAGAAGATATGATTTTAGACTAAAAAGTCTTTTTCATAATCCGGTCCATCTCGTGATCTTTCTACGCGAGTCAGCGCGGTTCTCACATTTCGGCGATACGAGTTGGGTAAAAAAATCTGCAGACGTATACACATGTTAAATAAATGCATTAATTTTTTTAAGCCGTTTTCTCAACGTCGATTAATTTTACTTAAATTTTTCTTTCTTATTTAATCAAATTGAAAAGCTAATATTGTTAATGAAAGTTTCTAAAAGGCGTTAAAATAATAGAGGAGCGATTATGTTGTTGTTATCATGAATGTTCTTCGTAATATACCGCTTGAAAATTTTACATATTAATATATTTATTCTGCGTCTTGAGTAAATCATTTAATCAGACTACGATATTAATTTGTGATCAGAGCCAGCATTAATTTGCAAACTTTCTGTTTGTATCATAATAATACTTATCTAGGTACATGTAGATATTTATTTGTGTACGACTAACTATAGTAAAGAATTTTTTTGTTTTACTGCAATATTAATGATTGGTGCAATTTTTATTGATATGAAATACGCTATATTTCCACGTTTGTTTCTGTGCCCCTTTGTAAACAAAGTTGGATTAATTTTAATGTAACTATTAAAAAAGGAGTAGAATTAGATTCATTTAAACATTAAAAAATTTTATTTGGAATTAAATTTATATCTCTTAGCAATCAATAAATTTTAATTTGTTTGCATAATAGAAATTATTTTATTAAATTAACTCCAATTTTTTATGTTAATAAAAATTCATTTAGCCCGTGTGTGTGTGTGGTTCGATAACTTTATTTGTCATTTTATATATCATATTATTGTAAATAATGAACAATAATGTCTTAGTAGATATCACTGTTTGTAAACAATAATGTCGGGAATGCGAAATATATTTCGGTAAGTCGACGTACAGGGTTTTTCCGGAAAGTAATGCGTCGCATTTTTTTGTGACGCGACTATACATCGCATAGCGATGGGACCGGTTGGGGAGGAAGGGGGGTACCCTTAGCTTTCCAACGGTAGGTCGCTCAATTGTTTCCATGCGCTTGGAGGGTTAGGACGGCTTATTCTGTGAACCTCTGCTTAGTGGTCGCGTCGAACTTGTGATGGAGAGAACGATAGAGCAACGCTATGCGATAAAGTTTTGCGTGAAGAACTCAAGCAACTCTGTGCAGATAATCCCAATTTCCTGAACAACGTTATCACTGGGGATGAATCATGGGTCTTTCAGTACGATCCGGAGTCAAAGAGGCAGAGTGCGGAATGGCACACGACGTCGTCGCCGCGCCAGAAGAAGGCTCGCATGAGCAAGTCCCGGGTGAAGTCAATGCTCATTGTTTTTTTTATGCAAAGGGGATAGTGCACCATGAATTCGTACCCCCCGGCCAGACTGTCAACGCTCAATTTTACAAGGAAGTGCTTCAGAGACTGAATCACAGGATCGCCCGCGTCCGAAAGGAGATCCGCGCTTCATGGAAACTCCATCACGACAACGCGCCGGCTCACACCGCCTTTGTTATTACGGCCTACCTGACCCGGATCGGTGTGGCAACGGTGCCGCAGCCGCCCTACAGTCCCGACTTGGCCCCGGCGGACTTTTTTTTATTTCCTCGGCTGAAAAGGGAGCTCAAAGGACAACAGCTCGAGTCGGAAAAAAAGTCCGCCGGGGCCAAGTCGGGACTGTAGGGCGGCTGCGGCACCGTTGCCACACCGACTTTGAACCAGTGTTTCCATTTCCGTTCGTTCGGAACGTTCTTCTGAAAAGCAACTTAGTCGTAATTTCTGCGAATATAATTTCAGTGTTTCAAAATCGCATATCGTATAGTAAAAGAAGTTCGACGGAATTTCCCTAAAGTCAGTAAACAGTAAAACAGTTTTGTGTAAAAGTAATTTTATATATAAACTCATTATGTCAACCGAGCGCGTAACTAACAATAAGGCTTGTAAAAAAATTACAATGGAAGAGAAACTTCAAATTTTGGAGAAATTTGATCGTGGCATTTTAAGGAAAAACATTGCCACTCGTCATAATATTCCTTACAGAACTGTATGTAGAATAGTGAACCAAAGTGATAAAATACGCGAATCAGTGAATAAAGGAATGAGCGTGAAAAGAAAGTTTGTAATATCTCAAGCAAATTTTAAATATTATGAATTGGACAAACAATTACATGAATGGTGTAAAGAAAATGTACCAGGAAACGTAATTGACAAGAAGCAATGGAATAAGCTTGTTGAGGAAGCATATAAAATCGCAAAAAGAGTTGGAGAATTACCAAGATATATGAAAAGTTTTATGCGATATTTTAAAAAACGTTACGACATTAAAGTAAAGTCTATTCAATCTTCTCATTCAATCTTGAACAAAAAATTGTATGAATGGTATCAAGAGCAAGAAGAATCAGGAAACACAATTGACTGGAAGCAACTTCGTAAGGCAGCATGTGACATCGCAAAAGGTGTTGGTGAACCGTCAAATATGAAGTACTTTTTGGTTAGATTTAAAAAACGTTACGGAATTGTACTACCTAGGTTCAAAAGTGAGAAAATTTTGCAAAATTCTTTTCAAAGGGATGATGAGGCCAATCAATCTAATGCTGAGCAATTTGTTCGAAAATTCAGACAGCGATTAGAGCAGGAAAATATTAGTAAAGATAACATTTATATTATGATCGAAGCAGACTTCATATGGAGTACTTTTGTTGAGACCTTGATAGCACACGCAGCCGCAGACAAAATCCCAATGCAACAAATTGACGATTTGAAAAAGAGGATTTTAACTTTTATATTTTGCACAAATATTACTAATAGTAAGAAACTAGCTTCTATTCTGTCTGACGAAGTTGAAATTAATGAATATGAGAGTCAAAGTGTATCAGATTATTACGAGAACAGATTGCTCGTCGCTCATAAACTACAAGAAAATGTCTCAGCAGAAAATCTGGAGAAAAAATCGAACAGTTTCGCATTTTGTTGCCATAATATATGGTACAATAATATATTTAAGCCAACTGTGACGATACATAAGAAGGAGAAGAATATAGCTGGCAAAGTGCTTTTACTAGTTGACGATAGCACACGACGCATATTTTCGAAAAAAATTATTCACGATGATGGTTTCGAAGTAGTATTCTTTCCGATAAACTTGTTTAATAAACAATTCTGCTCAGATATTATGAAGAAAATGGACCAAATATGTCATGAATGCTTATTGGAAGATGTACAGAAGAAAAATTCTGTTTCTAAAATTAATTTTAATACAGAAAATTATTTAAATTGGTGTATTAATATACTCTGTGAAACATGGGTAAACGTCGCGCCGGGTGAAATAGAAGAATTGTGGAGACGATTTTTAAGACAAGATTGCTAAACACAAGAAGGTATTTTAACATTAACTTCTGTCACTTCACAAAAGTTAATTAAGTCTGCAGGAAAAGTCATCGTTTCTGACGAAAGATCGATTACTTATTCCTTGCGCAGAAGGCGATAAAGGAGAATATCACCAACAAGAAGAAACTATTGAAGACACTAAAAACAAATAAAAACAGAAAAGGAAGACACTCAGAAATATCTCTTGGCAATTTAGAATAAATAGTTAATAATAGCTGAAGAAGTTCTTATATAGATGACTTCAAATGAAATATTAAACAAAATACTTAGTTCTGATAGAGAAAATTGTAGAAGAGGAACTTTAAGTATTGCAGAAATCTTGTATTTTTGTATGTAAAATTTGCATTATTAGTATTATTATTACGATGTTCACTTATCAAGACGTGCATACAATTTTATGTAGCTAAGGAAATAAGTTACATTTCTCATAATTTATATATTCGTTGACAAACTTTTCGGTAAGGAATGTTTAAAACAAAAATAGTTTCTCAAAACATTTAAATCATTTTCTCGGCTCTGTAATTACTCAGAACAGCGATTGTGTGAATTGAAAATTATGTTTTTATTATAATTATACGTATTGAGAAATGCAGTACCTAGAAGTTTCAAAATTTATGGAATGCTTAAAAATTATATTTGAAAAAATTTATATTCTATGCTCGAAGATTCAATTGGTGAAATCAAACATCAGAGGATGGCATGCAAAAAAATTCGAGGTGCTTATTTTTTTTTCTTACAATTAGATATATGTTCATTGTGAGATATCATTGTGTGTATATGTTTAAAGTGAGTATTTGTTACTATTATTTTTTTATTATGTGTATTTGTATGTGTACATGTATATATTTGTGCATATAAATATATCAGTTGAATTGTATTTGTGTTTTAATTGTCAGTAGATCTAAATGGTTGCTGATTAATTTAAGTATATTAATTGCGTTTGACGTTGTTTTACTTTTTTATTCTATGATTGAATTTAACAGTTTCTTAAATATTGAAGTAAAAGTAAAAATGTATATAATTACTTTATAAACAATACATAACTTTTGATTTAGAATTAAAATACATAACGAGTAATGTATTTATTGTTATTAAAATATATTCGAACAAGGTATAAAAAATTCTAGCTGATTTTCTTAGAAAAGTATAATAATTAGTAAATATATTTATTATACAATTATATTCTATTAGTTTTCATAATATTGATCATGAAACAAAGCAAACTAAAGAATTTAAACTTTAGATTTCTTTATTAGTATCTGTATCTGTTTCTTCATCCTCTTTTTAATCATCTCCTATTGATGAAGTATATTAGCAACCGGTTAAAGGTTTCCCAAAAAAGCTATTATGATACATTAATATCATTTCACAAGACCGTCTACGTGCTCGTGAAATATTGAGAAAGATGACATCTGTCAATGTTGTTATTTTTATTTTTGCGGCTTGACATCTAAGGCAATATCGATCGACATTATCTGGCTATGTATATCTTTTCTTTTAACTTATCTCGTTAATCCACTTTTTCACTCGTTTCTGCGGTTGTTTTGTTTGTTTTCCTCCTAAAGGAAATATATTCTCAAATTTTTTGAAGAGCTAGCTATTTGAAGAAAGGGGTTTATGTTCATTTATTCGCTTGAAGAGGATATGATATATTATAAGAGTAAAAAGTCTTTTTCATAATCCGGTCCATCTCGTGATTTTTTTACGCGAGTCAGCGCTGTTCTCAGCTTTCGGCGATACGAGTTGGGTAAAAAAATCTGCAGACGTATACACATGTTAGATAAATGCATTAATTTTTTTAAGCCGCTTTCTCAACGTCGATTAATTTTGCTTAAATTTTTCTTTTTTTTCTAATCAAATTGAAAAGCCAACATCGTTAATGGATGTTACTAAAAGGCGTTAAAATAATAGAAGAGCGATTAGTTTATTGTTATCATGAATGTTTTTCGTACTATACCGCTTAAAAATTTTACATGTTAATATATTTAATTTATTATAAAATATTTCGTTACTTTTACACACTATCGCAACTTGCGTAGGCGGATGGGCGGCGCTATTCTCTCTTTTGAACGGCGCGGGATTAGTTGCGGCTATGTATCGCGCTGCGAGGTCAATAAGATTCACCCTGGATTTTGCCAATAAACCGTGATGCGCTTGAAAAGAAATCTCATATCGCGTAGACCGGAAGTCGTCGCAGATGAGCGGGATTGGTGGCAAACGATCGGCAAGGAAAAAAGATCCAACTCGCAGCTCGGTGAATTGAATTACCTTCTATCGAGAGATCGTTAACGTTTAATTCATTGCGGCATCGAGAATCGATTGAAAATGGCAAAAATAGCACAGCACGAACATCATCGATCTTTGTGTTTGCTCTTGTTATACAGTTCATTGACACAGTTGCGAACTATAATATTCAACACAATGTAGACTAGGTATGTCTAAAGACTTTTACATAATATACATTATGCAATACGATTACTTTATAGAACATAGGTTAGGTTAAAGGAGAGCGCTTGTGTGCTGGTGATTGGCACGGTAGCCACTTTCGACAATATTATTGCTCTCATTCGCGAAATAAACATAAAAAAAATAAATAATATAATTATAATTATTCATCATGCTCTTAGATTTCTAGTTATTCATGCACGATTAATATGTTAATAATTAAATGGAATATTTAATTAATTAACAAATATATGCACATCAGAGTAAATTATTGAAAAGTTTGGTTAACTGAGCATTCATGTAGGATAAAAATAATGAGCCTCATAAAAATAACGAATTTTATGTTCCGCTACAGGGTTAATGCGCTGAGAGTGCGAGGTCGTTCCGCAACAGTTGGTAATGTTTCGTACATTGGTTATCGGTTTTACGATCGTTTGAGAAGTACCCCGTGATCTCATTTTTTCTCCTCCGGGGAAGAATTATTTGCCATTCCGGATGTTCCGCTTATCACTGGCAGAGATAAAAATTTCAACGCATATATATAACCTCGGGTAATTCATAAAGATTACCACCAGCTCGGCCCTTATACGCGTAACGCATTCGAAAGCATTTTATGATTTTCGTGTCTTGAGATATATACATACGCAGAGGGAACATGGTTCTTTATAACAGGGATTACTGTAAGTCATTCTTCCTTATGTCGACAAATAAACAAGCTGAGACAGTTGAGTGTTTACTTAAGGTGGTTTAAATATACTGTTCGACCTACTTCATGCCCATGCCAGATGTAACGCTATACCTACAAAAACAGGTAGATAATTTTAAAAATAAAGGAATTTTTTAAACATGATTTTATATAGACAAATAATATCAGATATTTAATTTTAAATTATTTAATATTTTTACTAAATTTGTAATTTTGTAAAAAAACAATTGCGCGTGTAATTTTTCTATTTTAATATTTTAAACGCGAAGAAAATGCAATTTATTGAAATTAAGAGATGTTTGCAACAGAGAGAAGAGTATTATAAAGTTCAAAAGAATAATGACGTCTTACGCTAAATATTTATTACACGCATAATGCTCAAGCGACGCATTAATTTCAATCGATTAAGCTTGGTAGTTCAAGGAGAAAAAATGTATACCATTAATAAATTGCAAATAAGTCTATCTCGCAAAAACACGAGGCGCTCATAGGCTTACGTAAGCTATTATATAATAGTGTATCATGGTACACATAGTATATATACATCGGTAACTGATCCCTGCGGGCAAATAAAGCAGACGGGCGGTCGCGAATAACAAGCGAAAAGAGGAGACACACCAACACGACCTGGTCATTTGACAGATCCCCTCGTCATACATCAGAATGTCGGTTTGTGCGCAGTCGTTTTACCGCTCGGTTGTTAGGTATTACACAACGACTCCGGCCGTGGAGTCCGTCGTAACCTTTTTCTTCGGTGACACGTCACCTCTGACTTTTGCATCGCGACGTGACTCCTCGAGCAAGGAGCAGCGTATGTAGATACGTGCTCGCGCGTAATCGCGACGCGAAACGACCTAATCTGCACGCGGTTGCATATCTGCTAACGCGCTCGCATGCAGCGGGACACGTATCTCTCTTCCACTGGAAATTTTTTATCCGGCACCGAGACCCCGTTACGTTTCCTCTTTCTACTCGTGGAAACGTCGGGTCGAAAAGGGAAATACGAGAAATATATGTACGCACACACGATCGTGATTACTGCGCGTGTTTCTGCAGATAACAGAAATGTCAGCGACTGTCAGTATAGTAACAGTAGCGATGGCAGCTGTACTCTTTGCGAACTACTTCTATTTTATTATCAGCTATCGCTTCTTTGTACAAGTACGGTGTTGAAACTTTTCGTTTGTAACTTTCTCGCGAATTCTCCTGTCAAGGCTGAGAGGTCTAAACATCAGACACCCGGTGTATCGGTTAATCTTACGGTATTCATTTTAAAAACTCGACACAGACTGACGTAGAAACTTTTTGTATCCATTCGGCAGCGAGAAAAAAAGAAATCTATTTAATCTATACTATATTAACTTTGGCTCCTCTTTAGCCTGAAGTATTAAATTATATCGCTCAAAATGTAATCTTGTTTTTGAATAACATTAATTTTTATACACGCGCGGACACATCTGATAACAGAGACAACGAATATACATTCGCACGCATTGTGATGTAAACTGACGAGTTCGCAAGCTTTCACGCGGATTTATTCTCTTCGCGCGATTTTCTTATAAACGGATCACGCTAGTTGACCTCCGGCCATAATTACGTGGAGGTCAAAGCTTTAATGGCTTGGCCTACGCAATTGTTCTCGAGGATACAGCGTGCGTAAATAAGCAACGACTCGACCCTGACGCAGACAGCCTCTTGTTCGGTGACCATGCGGTTGGTCCAGCATGGTTCATAGACCAACGACCGTGACGCTCACTTAAAGCTTACCCGCACGTATCCCTCGATAGAATGCCGTGTATGCTCTTTTTGTAAAATGCAAATCCCCTTGCATACGAGGGAGAGACCGTGACGTGTGAACAGGATCGCGGAGAACTTTGCAGAGTGCATTTTGGTGAGAATATGCTTACAGTCGATTCACTTATTAGAAAATTGTTTTTTTTAGACAACTGTTGTGTAAAGGATAATATAGATGATTGTTCATAATTTTATGATATTCGAAGATAAAGATATTTAAATTGTGGGAATTATAATATACATTGCATATATAATGGCATTACACAATATTTAAGTTTTTTTATTAGTATATTAAAAAGCCTAAACTGAATATCTAATTAAAGATAAATATTAATATTTTTTTCTTTTATTTGTGTAATTTTCGTAAATGTAAATTATGTAAAAAAAATATTATTGTATAAGTATTAAAAAAATTGTAATATAGTGATTTTTTAAATATTCTTCCTACATTATAATTTTTTATATTTATTACATAATATCTCGAAATATAGCATTATTATATCGTACGTACAGATTACCAACAATTATGTGTAAATGGCGCAATCATTACTTGTCGAGCGAATAATTTGTTGACTATGTGGTGATCTTTATCTCATTTATGAACACGCGTCAGAATTCTGTTTTTTCATCGCCTTAGGCACGGGCGTCTCCCGCGTTCCTTTTCGTTCTGATTCCCAGACTTTCATTTCAAAGGAAGATCGATATCGACTTCCTCAAGGGAATGCAAAAGCATATCGGATTCATCGTTCATCTTCGCCAAAAGAAAATAGA